ATTTGTGTTTAAAAAAATGATACACAGCATGCAGAACCACATGTATTTTATCTATGTTAAACACATAATAAATGCGTTATTTTCAATTCTGAAATGTTATTGAGTTGCATAGACTGGATTCTATACAGTTGAGGTATTTATAAATATTGGCCAATAGGAGTTCCTTCTAGGAATTCAGGGCGGGGGGGGGGGGAATCTTGCAAAATATATTGACAATTTATACCTTCTTTCTAGCATTCAAGGTGGTCAGTAATGTCACCCCAAGCTAAAATCCTAATTCAAATGTCAGGGAAAAACTATCGAAAGAGAAACTTTGGCTTCTTTCCTAAAAGCTGGAAGAATGAAGCCTCAGCAGATCTCCCAAAGATTTGTCTCCCTTAATTTGGGAGTAACACAGGCGGCCTTCTTCTCCCATCGGCAAATGGTCCTCAGGATACCCTCTTCTGTCAACCCTAATGTCAACCTTAGGCAATATTATATGCTGCTATAGGTTTATAGCAGTCAGCTTTTACCCAGCTTTGGTGTGCATGTAGTTCCATGCAGCTATTCAGGTCTTAGGATGTTTCTCAGGGCAATTATCCTATATTTGAAAGGGCCTTGTGGTAGCCATTGTCCCGCACCTGTCAATGGGCTTCAGCTTTTACTAACTTTTGATCTGATTCACATGAGTTTTTATGGACTCAAGTTTCATAACTAGGTTTTGAAACTGAAAATGAAAGTTTAGCAAACAAAATAACAATTTTTTAGGCAAAAAATGTCCAAATTTTCTAAAATTTGTGTGTGTGTGGGGAAACCTTGGTAAATCCATAGGTTGCAAAAATATTCAGGTAACCAAACTTGAGCATCCAATTTTGGTGGCAAATTGTTGCAGTCGTAAGTTGAGTAAACACATAAACAGGCTCAAATATATACACTTTTACAATGGTTGTTAAGCAGATCATGTGGTCCTAAGTCTGAATCCAGCTTATCCAATAGGTGTTTTTGCCAGAAAATGGCAAAATATGATTACATAATCCTGAGACACAAACCGACATAAATGTGAGCCAGTTGCTAAGTGCCTGAAATGTAATTAAATGGCCACAGGGGTGGTGCATCAGGCATAATTCAAAGGAAGGATTGTTGTTTTTTCAATCTGTTTTGAACAGTCATTAAGCAACAGGTTGTAAAGGCAGCCTGTAAAGGACATTTTTCAACTTGAATACTTCTCATTAAATACTATGTAAATTGGAGCCATTGTTTTTAAGGTACACAACTGGAGTTTTCAGCCTTCTTCGGGCAATGGAACTGTTTTTTAAACAAAACCCGGACCTCTGATCCAGAGGCCAAAGCTCTAGCGCAGCGGTTCTCAACCTATTTGGGGTCGATCGACCATTTCACGGGGGTCGCCAAGCAAGGCTGTCCGCCATTTTTTTTCCCTTTTCCGGCAGGTGCCTTACCTCCCTTGGGCTGGGCCAGCTGGTGGTCGGCCTGCTCCGTCTCTGCCGCTTGCCAGCTACGCCTCGGCCGGCGCAGGGGGCGGAACCACGCATGTGTGGCGCTCCCAGGCAGGGAAAGTCCTCGACTTACGACCGGTTGGGTAGTCCTCGACTTATGACCGGCTTAGTCCTCGACTTACGACCGGTTTAGTCCTCGACTTACGACCGGTTGGGGGGTCGCGGCATTAAAAAGGTTGAGAACCACTGCTCTAGCGATAGATAATTGGCAGGGTTTGCATGGACATCCCCCCCCCCCCCATAGTCTCATGGAACCCCATGAAGGAGTTCTATAGAACAGCCTGAAAATTCTACTGATGTTTCTGGTTAAGATTTTTAAAAAAAACCATGTCACATGCTTAACGTATGTCAAACAATAGAGACATAGTTGACTAGATGCAAAGGACTACGTATACTCTTTCCTGCATTCCTGAGCATAATGTAATCAGAACTTCATATAAACTTGCAACTCGTTCAAAAGCAGAAAACAAGTTCCCCTCCATTTTATTTTTTTTCTTTTCTGGCTTTTCATATAGCAAAATGCTCTGTTAAGAGCATAATACATACAGGGCTATTTCAAGAAACATATCTTTCAGAACATTAACTGCACAAATGTACTGTTTTTCAAAAAAAATCCTGAGCCATGAAATCGGATTGGCTCTAATATTCCTCTTCAGTGCCTAAATCATCAACTACTATATACTCAATACAAAGAATGTGCAAAATCCTGATTGAATGGTGTAGTTGCAAGCATATGACAATTTCCTGCCAAGGGCAGATATGGGATATTTTTGTGCCTTAGAAAACCTGAGCAACTGGCGTTAGTTTGTTAAAATTATGGGTATGCACCAACTTTGATAAATGCCTAATTTTAATAGCAAAAGATTCCAGTATTTACATTTTGATAATCATGTGAGGCATTAGTTCATGAAATAATTTGCAGCAATCCAAGGCTAAAGGAGGGATACATCTAGAACACCAACCAACACAAACACAATTATGATTATTTCATAGGAAGCTCCTTGTGCACAAACTTATTGATTCTGATCTGGAAAAAATAGATCTGCCAAGGATGAAACTTTGGCAGCAAGGTGCTTCTGCATTTCATCTTGCCTTTAGATCAGTGATGGCGAACCTTTTAGAGACCGAGTGCCCAAATTGCAACCCAAAACCCACTTATTTATCACCGGGTGCAAGGTGGGTGTGGCTGTGGTGGTCATGGCAGACGGTGGGTGTGGCCAAGGTGGGCGTGTCACCTCGATGTTGCTCATGGGGAGGGATGCCTGTGGGGACCGGGCAGGGGTTGGGGGAGATCCAGGGGGTCTCTGGCAGGTGGGGCAGTGGGCAGGAGGCTCGTCCTGCGGGGTGAAGTGAGGCAGGGCTGGGGTGCCATTGTCACAGGGCAAGGTGAGGTAGGGGCCAGGGTAGCTGTTGCCTGACACCATCGGCCCCTACACACACAGGCCAGCGAGCGCATGGCGGCCAACAGTGTCCATCAGCAGCCACAGCCTACCGGCCCCTTGACAGCACACTCTGGGGCTCCGCAGCCCGCCACCAGAAGTTCAGAGAAGCCGCCTCTAAGCTGGACAGATGGCCAACAGCTGATGAGGCGCTGCAGTGGGTCGTGCCGGGGAAAAGGAGAGCATGTGAGGCCAGGAGGGATGGGACAGGGGGAGGGAAACCAGCCATTCTGGGATGCATCCGGCCATGTGGGACCTCAGCGAGTTAGCGGGCAGCTGGTTGAAGAAGGACGGTTGCCATCTCTGGGGCATGGCGCGCATGCCCACAGAGAGGGCTCTGAATGCCGCCTCTGGCACCCGTGCCATAGGTTCGCCACCACTGCTTTAGATTAAGAGGGGGGGAGAGAATGTTACTTTCAAGTGGTTTAAATGGAGAAACGAAACCTCTTCAATTCAGCTGGAGAGTGTGAGAGGCTGAAGCCTTGTCAAGGACACCATAACAGGTGTGGATTTGAAACAGATGGTTCCCATAACAAAGTGAACTTGTTGATATGTGTTACATAAGATGTTGGGGGTTTGGAGAATTGTTTAAGTCGATGAATTGGTGTCTGGGAACTTCAGAGCTAGTTTTTCTTCGACATAACCAAGCTGTGTATTCAATAAACAGTAAGCTTTTCAGAAACGAAATGAACCTGGAGTTTTATTCGGATTCTTGAGCTGGATGTTGACAAGATCTGCTATTCAAAGGGTGGCAGCCTTGCTTCAGTTTCCACTAGTATAACAAGGCACCGAATTTAATGACTGCCATACAGTACAAGAGTGGGTTGGATTATTTTACAATTATAGAAGTATGGGATAACTTTAGATTACTTCTACTTTATTTATAAGAATTATTTTATGATTAGATGATCCAAGCAATTATGAATGGTGGCTGATCTGACTATACAGCTTATTTGCTATGATAAATCTGGAAGGCTGTTTACCACATTGAGTTTCCTTGAGGAGGAAGAAGATTAAAGTTCTAAATATGAATACTGAAGCCTCAACATCTCTGAAACAGGTCAGAAGCCATAAATCTGATTTCTTGAAAATATACTGATAAAAACATGGTAACGGCAGATAACATGATTCTTAACCACACAAAAATTGTTTTATGCTTCCTGAATTCTAACAGTCTTGGCATTTAAAGACTGGTCGCAATCATTAGGTTACAATAACATAGTCAATGTTTAAACTGAACATTTACAAGCTGCTAAGTCAAAAGAAATGAATAGATTTGCTCTCGAGTAATTTCCTCTGGTTCTTGATCAACAAAAGATTAACTAAAATAGTCTACAACTTCTAGAGCCCACGTGGGAAAGCAGTAACACTGTACCTGCTGGCATAAAATATACCCATCACTTTATGTTACCAGTTTCAGCCTGGCATTATTACATTGAATTAGATGTGACCTGTTCCCTTCTCCATCCACGTTCTCTGCCTTGTTGCTCTTATAACAGTGATGGCGAACCTTTTAGAGATTGAGTGCCCAAACTGCAACCCAAAATCCACTTATTCATCATCGAGTGCCGGGTGGGTGTGGTCCATTGGGTAGGTGTGGCACATTGGGTGGGCATGGCTGTGGTGGTAACGGCACACTGGGTGGGACTAAAAAGTTCAATCAATATTCTCATTGCAAGATCTTTTTTTTTCCCCGTGAGAAGTTGAAATTGACTGATTGAACCTTTTTTCTTTTTTTGCACACGCTGGCGGAGGCCTAAAGCGAAAAGGTTTTAAAAAACCCAGCTGAAGGCCTAGGACTGGGGCGATGGCGCGTGTGCCCACAGAGAGGGCTCTGAGTGCCGCCTCTGGCACCCGTGCCATAGGTTCGCCACCACTGTCTTATAAGGTAAACTTTTATTAGTCACATAATAAAAAGACAAAGCCAGCTGCTCACAGACACTCCTTTTCAATTTCAAATAAAAGCGATACTGTTTCAAATATGATGCAAATCTGATCAACTTGCATCTTACTACAACATCCTCAGAAAGGAATGTGATGAAGAAAGGGACAGAAAACAACCCCACAGCCAGTGTAAAGAGAGGTTTTATCTCTCACACTCAGGTGCCAGACTTGTAAGAAGACTGAGATGTACGTGAATTCAGCTCGCTACACAGTCTGAGCTATTACCATTTCATGGTTACAATACAACAGACAGTCGTCCTCAGCAACGTGATGTCAGCCATCCGAACTGAATACAACAGCCTTCCTCAAGAGGAAGACCCAGTTTACCACAGGATCATCCTCTCAACTGAGCCAGCACAGAAAGGTAGTTCAGTTCAAGGTGTAATATTGGACAAATTCAGTGGGGACACTCGGCGGGTTGGAGTGTTGTTGGCAGAGAGGGAAGAAGGAAGTAGGAAAGGCGTGGCTGTCTCTGTAGTTGATGTCTCCCCTTGATTTCGTAACTGTAAGATTTGTCGCAAAAGAGCTTTCCCTTCTTCTCTTGTCTAGAAAGAAAAGCCAGATGCATGAGGAAAGAAAAAGGGAGGATGCTGAGAGAAAACAGGTTATAGGCAAAGCATGCTAAATTATAACTAAACCAGTAGGTACTGCTTCATATAAAGAATGTACACACACACACACACAAAATAGGTGGGGAAAAAGGATATACAGGAAAGTTAAATCTCGTGTGCATGTGAGAATATTACAATATCACTCTCCTTAGTCCATTAAACAGCTGAATGGCAGCTTAGTAGAGGTGAGTTCTGCAACATACTCAGAGAGCTAGCTACATGCTGCCTTTTGTATTGATCGTATGCGATGGAGGAGGCAGCTAAATGAATATTTCTTGTAATGGCCTGTATGCTTTCTGGGATCTGTCAGTATTAATTTAAAGAACTTCATTCTCTGATAAGAAAGAAAAGCAATAGGCTCAGTGTTATATTTGCCACCATTTTAATAGCCAAAAGTTTGCAAATTGCAAATACACGAATGTCTGAATAAACCAAAGAATTATTTGGAAGAAGTACCTCAGACCCTGTAGAATAAATTCTTTTCAAGATCTCATTGGCTACAGTTTTGTTATCTATTAGTTAAGCTGGAATGGAATTCCTACAAATAATAAGGGCCATCTCTACTAAATAAATTATTTATTCATTTACTAAATTTATTTGCCATCCACCTCGCCACAGGGCATTACTTTTTACCATCTTAAGTTAAAGCAGTAGCTCTGCCAGATTAATTTTAGATATGAATTACACCAAGCCTGGAGGACACAGCTTCTGGCCTAGCCACAAATGAAGGGGGAGAAGGGAGTTATACATTAATGATGTATACATACATATGGGGACAGGCATAAAGCCCCAGTGAAAAATTGTCCACTTAAACTGTAGCGGTTACTCACATCATTGAAGGCGCAGCATTTCTGAGCACAGGCTGAGGCTTCATCCCAGAGCTTACACTTGAAGTAATACTGAGCCAAGTAGCGGAAGGCAGTGCTTATTTCCAAGTTGTCCCCTAATTCCTGGGATACAATATAGGTACATCCATTCATTCAGCAACCATTCAAGGTCACAACTAAATGTTTCAGTTACAGTTGAAAAAAATGACTTAACACGAGTCTTCAAAGTTCTGGCCATCTCAGCACCCTCAAAGTGTGGGCCACCTGCATTTGTAACCGTCCCCAATGCCTACTTGTGGCACTTTCCACACACCCATGGCACTCTCCTCCCTGCTCCCTACCACCTGCCTGCAGTACTCCCCAGCTTGCTTGCCAGGGACGCCCATCTCTTCCCACCCAACAACCTGCACAATCCTGGGGTTATGATGGCAACTGAGACTACTAGGACTGCAACTGCAAAGTGATGCAGTCAGGTGACATCACAGTTTACGACAGAAAATCCAGTCCCAATTCCATCGTAAGTCAAGGATTACCTCTAAGGACTTTTAGGATTTTCCTATATTTCCCTCTCATGCTCTCCCAAACTTATTTAGAGCTGACTTACCCCACAAGAATAGATATCTTGGATGTATTTGATATAGCACTGAGCAGCCTGTTCTGATTCATTCAACTGCTCATGAAGCCTAAGAAAGGACACAAGTGGTAAGAGGATGCTCTTGACTGAGGATAAAAAGATCAGCTGAGCAGGAGGTACCAACTCAACATTATACTTTTGAGTACAAAGCTGTAGGACATGATTCACTCCGCAAGGGGCTTTTAGGTAGAAGCCTATAAAGTTAACCACACATGAACTGTATTTCTACAGAAAAATGCCCATGGTACAATGATGTATCCACTGCCCATGTGCCTTTACAAGCCCCACTTTCCCTTTTCTTTTAAAACAGAAACATTCCAGCCTTAATCGAGAAAGTAAGGCAAGAGAAATGCAATGCCATACTCACTTTGCTAGCTTCACCAGTGCCATTTTTTCCACATCCCCTACAGCATATGCTCTCCAGTAACACTGTCAAGAATAAAAGCAAAGATGAAGTAAAGAATATTAAACTATTAAACTTGTATGCCATCCAAAATGCACATTCACTCTTTGTTACCATCACCACAAAACATCCCCCCAGTGAGTAAGCTAGTTAAAATGTATCAGGGATGTCACATAAATTATTTTATAGATGGTCAAATCCATTTCTTTTTGTTGATGGCTCATATACTGATTATTGCACAGCAAAAAATTACTTTTGAATTATTGGTCAGGGGTTGGTGTGAAAGATTATGGAATTTTGCATTTACTGGGACACTAACATTATAGATCAGACTAGCAAACGGGGTTAATATAAAAATGATTCTTTCGCAATCATTGTATGTTTGTTATATTTGCCAACAAGTCCTTGTTCTACCTGGGCAAAAGCATCCTAAACATCAGCACAAATTGAGCAACACTATTATAATAAAAAGTATTTTTGATACTACAAATACTAATTATGTTTTGGATTTTCACTGATTCTGATGTAATATTTATATTAAGATATTCTGACTGCATTTTGTAACTTTATTATCAGGACTTGGGAATGAAAATAACTTTATAACACTAAGTTTGAGGGACATTCTTTTTCTTCATACTGGAATAGAATTTAAGATATGAAGCAATAAGAAAGGACTGGTCCCCATTATATTAGGCATGTGGAAGTGTGAAAATAAAATGTACATCATAATCAAATTTTTCATTCCATTCTAGGAAGGACTTGATGCTTTTTGTCCCCTTTCTTAACATAGATAGCCTAGCCCAGGGGTAGACAACCTTGGCTCTTTTATGACTCGTGGACTTCAACTCCCAGAATTCCTGAGCCAGCCATGCTGAGGGGAAAGGGAGAGGTTTCCAAGCTGAGCCATGCTGGCTCAGGAATTCTGGGAGTTGAAGTCCACGAGTCATAAAAGAGCCATGGTTGCCTACCCCTGGCCTAGCCATATGACCTACATCTCACAAACCATTCTCAAAGGATGATGCACAGACTAGGGCAACATAATACATGCAATAATTCCCCAATCTGGTTCCCCATGAAACCACAAATCCCCCCCCCCTTTTTGCAAATTTGTGCTTTCTAGTACCTTTTTGGCTTCTACTAGCTGATTTAATTTTTCATAACATTCTCCGAGAGCAACAAGCATACGGGAATCATTGGGTCTGTGAAAAACACAAGATACCTAGCTGACAAAAAGATTAAAATCATTTAAAATCATCTATAGCTCGCTGAGCAGTTGCCTGCTGAGCAGTTTTAACCACAAAAGTTAAAAAATTAAAGACCTGTCAGATTTTGGCAGTGGGATTTTTCAGATTCAACTATTGGAAAAACTTCCTCCAATATCAACTAATTTCATAGCTTTATTTATCAAGAAAAACCCTAAAGGTTAGCACTGAATAAGCACAGGACTTATTTTCCCCACAATAATTAGTTTTATGAAATTGATATCTTTAGTAATTCTTTGCAATTTATACTCCTTTGCCTTTAATAGAGCTAATAGTCAACACTGAAAACCAAAGTTTTATCATTTGCAGGGCATTCTTCTTTATAAATACATACTTCCAAATAAATAATTTATTTCATATATAATAATTTAACTTCACATACCAAGCATAGTTGATTTTAAAAAATGCAGCAATAACTATGCTCGCTGTTTTACCTGAGTTGATGGGCTCGCCGGTAATAATAAAGGCAGTAAAATGGCATCTTGAGAATCTCATATGTTTGCCCCAGTCCATACCATGCTCTGTAGTCTCTTTTATTCACTTCAATGGCATGTCTAACAGAGGAGGGCATTTGGGGGGGGAAAAAGAGTAATATAGTTAAAATCCATCATATACATTTTTTTATTTATTTTGGAAGGAAATGAATGACATGTGAGGGAGGGGAAAGCAAAATAAGTGGCAAGAATTCTCTAGAGCAGTGGTTCTCAACCTTTTTAATGCCGTGACCCCAACCAGTCGTAAGTCGAGGACTACCCAACCGGTCGTAAGTCGAGGACTTTCCCTGCCTGGGAGCGCCGCGCATGCGTGGTTCCACCCCCTGCGCCGGCCGAGGCGTAGCTGGCAAGCGGCAGAGACGGAGCAGGCCGACCACCAGCTGGCCCAGCCCAAGGGAGGTAAGGCACCCACCGGAAAAAAGGGGAAAAAAATGGCGGACAAAAAAAATGGCGGACAGCCTTGCTTGGCGACCCCCATGAAATGGTCGATCGACCCCAAATGGGGTCCCGACCCACAGGTTGAGAACCACTGCTCTAGAGTAGCTTCCACTTTGTGAAACTCTCTCCTGCCAAAGGGACATGCAGCTGCCCTTTGTTTTCCCAAGTAAAGGAAAACAATCCTATTTCCTGTCATTTTTTTCCCTACGCAGGCTGTGGGCACCATAATTATATCTTAGGCTTTAAAGTTAGGTTAATAGATTGCTTCTAGTAAATAATTTTTTTCTATAAAACTCGGCACTACCGCGTCACCAATCTTTCCGTCATGACGTCCGATTAAGACGACTGAGGGTCGTCAAGATTAAGACGACCGAGTTCCAACTGAGTCGGAAAGTAGGAAAACTTCAAACATTTTACTCCTGGGTCTAACAACCCCCGTTATAATACGACTGAGACATTTGGCGAATCTCTCCCGACATTTCGTGCCACTTCTGGTATATAAGTCTGCTATTGCTATAAATCTTTTCTCATTTGATGCCCAGAGCATTTAGTTTGGCACAGGGTAAAATTTCTGTAAAAAGTAACATCCCAGTTAAAGCAATTCCAATCCCAGGCAACTGAGCTTAACTCTTACACACAGACCTGTATGCTTGAATAGCTGCTGATGTATTTTTCATCTCCATGTATTCATGCCCCATAAGGGTCCATGCTCCAAGGTATCGAGGATTCAGTTTCAGGGCTCGCTGGAAATAGAGGGCTGCTTTCTCATGCTGGGAACGCAAACTGTAATAGTTCCCTAAGTTAAATAATAATAATAATAATAGCTTCACTGGCACTGTTTAAAAGGGGAACAAATCAGTTTCTTCAAGAAAAGAACATGCAAAGTTTCTCACCAATTACACAGCAAGTTTCTACACGATACTTGTCAATCTCACATAGGTTATGGGCCAAATAGCTCAATTCGGGCTTCATACCCTAGTAAGGGGAGGAAAAAAAAGTGGGGGGAAAAATGAAAATTTACTCTGTTGCAAAAGGAAATTAGGAAGATAAGATAACCTTTATTGTCATTTTTTTACTGGGCACAATGGCACACATCAAAAAATGAAATTTAGTTGCCTACTCTCAAAGTGAAACACATATATGACACACACCTAAAACATACTATATACAACATATGTACAGACCCACACCCTTACATATCCGTAACAAATAAATATTAAATACTGTCCATCTTGAATATATAACGGAAGGAGGAATTCAGCCACTTGGTTAACTACCAAGTTCACCTTAAGGATTTGATTGCCACACTACAATTGTAGAAATAAATCCATCAAGCGAGCTCTACTAATATGTTAGTTTTTTCCTAGATAACCAAGCGAAGAAAGGCATAAAATTACACCACAACCCTATTTGATTATTGTAGCAATATTGTAACCCAGGGGTCTTCAAACCTGGCCCTTTTATGACTTGTGGACTTCAACTCCCAGAATTCCTCAGCCAGGCACGCAGGCTGAGGAATTCTGGGAGTGGAAGTCCACAAGCCATAAAAGGGCCAAGTTTGAAGACCCCTGTTGTAACCGAATAACACAACCACTATATTATCTAGTTTTCAGTAAAGCCACAGCAGATGGCAGCATTAGGTAACTGGCCGATTTTGGAAAGAGATAAGTACTTGGAGAAGATGGGAAGGCAAACAAACATCCGCAAACAAACATACGCTCCCACAGAGAGGGTCTCCTCAGGGTGCCGTCAACCAGACAGTGTCGGTTGGCGACCCCCAGGGGGAGAGCCTTCTCTGTTGGAGCCCCCACCCTCTGGAACGAACTACCCCCAGAGATCCGGGTGATTCCGGATCTCCCCTCCTTCCGCCGCGCCCTCAAGACATGGCTATTTCAGCTGGCAGGACTGGCCT